AGATTCATCTTTCAGATACAGTTCAGACACGCTCCAGATACGGATGTCATTCTAATACTCATTCAAATTCAGCTTTCAGATATGGTTCAGACACGCTTCAGATACGGATGTCATTCTGATACTCATTTAGACTCAACTTTTAGATATAATTCAGATACACTCCAGATACGGATGTCACTCTAATACTCATTCAGATTCAGCTTTCAGATACAGTTCAAACACGCTCTTATACGGATGCCATTCTAATACTCATTCAGATTTATCTTTCAGATACGCTCCAGATACGGATGCCATTCTGATGCTCATTCAGCACATTTCTCAAATATAGTTCAGATGCGATCCAGATACGGATGTCATTTTGACGCTCATTCAGTACATCTTTCAGATGCGAGTCAAATACAATCCATTTATGGATATTTTTCTGATACTCATCCCACTACATCTACTATTTCATTATAAATCAACCAGAGATTTATTATGATACTTCTTCAAATTTTTGCCACCAATCACTTTTGGATGGCATCTGTAAGCCCATCTCCGACAACTCTCCATCATCTCTCCAAATGACATCTTTAAGCCCATTCCCTGCATAATCAACCACCACATTATCGAGTTCAAATTTCTAGGCGCTCTAGTGTTCAATCATCTTCAACCTTCAAGTCACGAATGACAGGTTCGTCAATCTAACTCTTGAAGTTTAAGAAGATTGAACAGGGGTAGTTGTTGTACCCCAAAATGTGCCATCTCAATTCTCAAGGGATCATCCTAGACCCTCAGGATTGCTTCTGTCAAGTTTCAAGTCTCAGATTACAATTTTCCAAGAAAGTCATTCGCAAGGGCAAAATGGTCAAATGCACACTAAAAAGTTAAACTTTGACTTTTTGATCAAAATCAAGTTTCAAAAATCATATTTCATCAAGACATGAAGTTGGTTCATCAAGAAATCAAAAGTCAAAGATTACTTTGAAAAGTCAAATTTCTAAACACTTAGAAAATTTTCTAAGTGTTAAGAAAATATGATAATTTCATAACTTTGGGTCAGATTTTCATCATGATGCAAGATGATTCAATCAGAACTTCTGACATGAAAGTTATAGATCTAAATGAGATCTAAAACATTGCAGAACAGAATTTCTTCTAGAAAGGCTGGGATTTCAAGTTATAAATCCAAGAAGACATCCTTGAAGCTAAAACACTTAGTAAATTTTGAGCATTTTTAAGTCAGAATTTGGACAGGACTTCTGGGCCAGTTCTCACCCAAGTGCAATCAGAATTTGCAAAAAAAAATTGATTCAGAACATGACTCTTCGATCAGAACATATGGAAGTTGTGTTCTTCGGTCAGAATATGACTTTTCAAATGTCATTCTTCAGCATATAGAGACTATGTTCTACTCTTCGATTAGAACATCACCCTTCGAATCTCACTCTGATCTTTCCACTCTTCGATCAGAACATCACAAAGTCCCAAAACCTCGTTTTGGACAGTCTGTTGCACTGATATGACATAGTCATGCATCCAGCTGTCACAACACTCCAAATTATTGTTGATCCAGTCCACGCCTGTATTTTTCTCAAACCCCATATTTGCACCAAATTAGCACATAAAGGTTGTATTTAAAAAGCAATGGAACAGTATGCCAGAAAGGTTTAAATCTCATTTGTTTTTCCCCCCAAAACCACAGCAAACTCACATATAAATAAGTTGTTCCACCACATGTCTAAGGGGATGGCTTTTGGAAAGAGAGAGTTATTGAATACAAAAAGAGAAAAAAGAAAACATTCAAACATTCTTAAATCCAAAATTCTCAAAACCAAACCTTTGTTCGTCCTTTCTAATCAAAGAACATAACATTTTTGTTCTGTTTCTTGCTAACCCCAGAACATTCGAAGGTAGCAGCTCAGGTCCCAAACACACGTTTTAGATTCAAGGTAAGCCATCTTGACTTTGAACTTTTCATTCAGAACATCATTAAAATGTAGATATCATAGGTTGAGACTGTATATATTATTGCCCAAGTAGAAAAATTATGGATCAGAACTTCTTGAAGAAAACTAGGCTCAGAATTAAGAATAGAACTTCTATAAACTATCGTGCTTTTATTTTTCTATTTTGCTGTTGTTAAGAACTGAATAAGTTGAAGATGCTTTGGCTAATGTAAGGAAGGAGGTGAAGTGTAATATATAACTTCTAGGATTTTTCTCACTGTTTTAACACAACACAGAACTTCTAGGATTTTTCTCACTATTTTAACACAACACAGAACTTCTAAGATTTTTTCTCATTGTTTTAACATAACACAGAACTTCTAGGATTTTTTCTCACTGTTTTAACACAACACAGAACTTCTAGGATTTTTCTCACTATTTTAACAAAACACATAACTTCTAGGATTTTTTCTCACTGTTTTAACACAATACATAACTTCTAGGATTTTTTCTCATTGTTTTAATACAACACAGAACTTCTAGGTTTTTCTCACTGTTGTAACACAACACACAGAACTTCTAGATTTTTTCTCATTATTGTAACATAGCACACAGAACTTCTAGGTTTTTCTCACTGTTGTAACACAGCACACAGAACTTCTAGGTTTTCCTCATTGTTTTAACACTCAGAACTTCAACGCGCAGCAACCCAGAACTTCTGGTTTCCTCTAACGTTTCTTTTAGAACTTCAGCGTGCAGCAACCCAAAACTTCTAGTTTCCTCTAACGTTTTTTTCTGAACTACAACGTGCCTAGCATCATAATTTCTGGTTCCCTCTAACGTTTCTTTCTGAACTACAACATGCGTAGCATAAGAACTTCTAGTCCCTCTCATTTTTGTTTTCAGCAACATGTTGATCCTGTTTTCGTCATTATTTTTATTATTTTTTAGCATTAGTACTATTTTTTTAATATAAAAAAGACACACAAAAAAATATTTTCTTTTTATTAACTAATTATTTTTTTCTTTTAATTTATTAAGACAAAAAACCATTTTCAAAACAAATTCTTTCCTTTTTTTGTATTGTACAATTCAATATGGTTGTAATAGATAAATTAAGATTTAAATTCTCGTAATCCCCATTTGTAAATATGTATCCCCATCCCTGAAATTATGTAATAGCTTAGGATTTATTTTCCGCATTTTTATTGCTTTCATACATTGTTAGTAATTAGGGTGTATGGCAAGATAAAATCAACAAGTAGATAATCTTTAAATGCAAGACAAAATGTATGCAATCAAACACACTTGCACACTAGCACCTCTAAGGTAATCTCACTTTGTTGCCTTTCGGAAAATAGTCATGTCCCTCGAATATGGGCGTTTTAGCAAAGACCCTCAATAAAAGACCGTAGTCCCTCGATAATCCACAATGTTGCCTTCGGTAAACGATCTAGTCCCTAAACGACTGAAACAACCGGCTGAAAATCATCAAAACAATGAAGTCGCCATCGAACGTCTTTTATCCCACATGTAGGGAAAGGTAAACATCGAGAAAACCTGATGAGGGAGAAGTCACGGTCTTGCGACCGAGAGATCGGGTAAGGGAGTCTGTTACGCGAGGGGAAGGTATTAGCACCCCACACGCCCGTAGTACTCTACGGTATCCACTCTTGTCATCTATCTTATGGGTGTGTTTAATATATGCTTACTGTCTACTATACTACTAAAGGAATGCATGCAAAAGAAAGGGGAAAAGAATGTAGGGAAAATAAAATTGTGCTCGCTTGGGCCCTACCCCGATGCCTACGTATCCCTTTTAAGGAATCAGAGCAGCCGTAGTTCGGCTTATGTTTTTGTTTGTTTGTATTTTTTTTAATGAACAGTATTAATCTCGCCTTCTGCCGCAACTCGACCTTTGGAGACTTACGCGTCAGCACAGAAGTGAATTAACATGCTCTCTTGAAAAGTTTGGAGAAAATGTGCCTGGGCGCACAAAAGAAAAGGTTTGAACTTGTTTGTTTTTGAATGAACGATAGTAATTTCGCCTTCTGCCGCAACTCGACCTTCAGAGACTTACACGTCAGCACAGAAGTGAATTAATACGCTCTTTTGAAAAGAGTTTGAAAGGAAGGGCCCGAAGGCAAAAAAAAATTATGTTTGTTGGTGTTTTTCACTTGTAGAGAATAGCTAGTTAATCTCAAGAGAGAGATTTTAGCCATTTCTCTACTTATTCATGAAATGATTCTTTGAGACTTAAACCACACCAAAGCTTAGAATAAGAGATCAATAAGGTCGAGAAGAGACCCTCTTATCGTCTCACATACTTAACGAAGATATGATTCTCGTCAGTAAATTTTTATGTGTTTTTGAAGTTTGTAAAAAAGGAGAAGTTTTTGTTTTAATGTATATGCAAAAAGGAAGAAAAGTCACAGGGAGACTAGCCTATTTCTAACTCTAATTTTATCATGCATTGTTAGACCTAAGTCAAGTATGAGTGAAAGGGAAACATTTACCTAATGTTAGCATGCATATGGTTTGCGATAAAGGAATGCAATAAAGTGCGAAATGAGGGATAAAATAAGGTTGTGACGATACCGAACGGAGAAGGTCCGTTGCCTCTTCAAAGTCCCACAAGTGGTAAGAAAACTCTACAGAAGTTACTCCGCATGAGTGATCGAAAATTAATATCCAAGCATTTCCCATTGCGAAAGTCACATCAATATCCGAACAAAATCTTAACTCTTCGAAGCCACGCAAGCAAAGAGAAAACTCTACAGAAACCTCCTTAAATTTCTTTGATGAAGATTAGGCTCTTAACTTGCTTTAAAACCTCTTGAAATTCTTCAACAATTATTACCCGCACAATCAAAAGTCAATCACAATGATTATACAAGAAAAATAAAATCAACGCAGCCAGGAGGTGCAAACTGAATCCAGGATATGCTGCAAGCAAAAATTAGAATGGCACTAAGCCCGTCAAAATGAACACATAAGCAGTTTTTTTTTGCATGTACAAGGTGTAATAAAAATGCACAGAATGGGCCTACGGAAATTCAGTTTAGCCCATGCATTTACCAGCAATGTGATCCAAATCCTCAACATATTATTTCAAAAATAAAAATTAAAAATATGAAAAGGAAAAGACATGATGTCGTTTGGTCCAAAGGAATAGGGTTCCAAGGTTTATGGTTGTTGGACTTTACTGAAGCACGATCTTCTCTCTTCGCCTCTTCATGTAGCGCCACAAAACTCTTTATCTCTACGGTTCCTCTTCTTCTCCTATCGAGGTCTCAGCACTTCGAAATCATCACTTCCAATTTAAATTCAGACGGTGTAACACTATCCTCTTCATCTTGCAAACACGTCGCGCCCAGTTCTGCATTCCTTCGTCAGAAATGCTCCAGCGGCTCTTCAATGGCCGTGATAATGAGAATGTTAGATGAAGCTCTTCCAGAAATCGGCATGTTTCCTTTCCTTGAAATTCTGTTTTTCTCTTCTCTGATTCCCTTCTCTTCTCTTTACAGCGGCGCGTACCTTCCCTTCCCTCCTTCATCCAATGTCTTAAAGGTCTTCTGCGATTCAACCCTCCATCTGATTACAGCGCTACACATACACCTTCCTCTGATTATGTGGCCACGCCTCTTCTTGCATTCACCAGTGATTCCTCCGCTAACATTCACATGCGTTCTGCGTTTCTGTGAGAAGACGAATCCTTCAGGTATGAATGATCCGTTTTGCAATCTTCTCCTACTTCCCTTTTTTTGCTTATTCTGATTTGTGCTTTTCTGTCGCGTCGATGTTGTGTTGGAGCTGTTACAAGTCTTGTGCAGAATGTTGATGAAGATCTTCGAAGGTTGATGAACGATTTGCAGAAGAAGTCGCTATGTGGAGAAATTGGTAGTTGAGTTAGAAGTGATGTTGGGGAGCTTTGAAACGAATGAGAATTGATCATCTCAAAGGAGGATGATGAAGGTGCAGGGTTTTCAGAGAGAGAAATGGTAATGAAGGATCTGTAGAGTAATTTGCAGAAGATCATTTCGAGGTGAGTTTCTTTTCTATTTTCTGTCTGAATGAATCGTTATGTGATGTTGTTGTTACAATTCAGAATGCTTGAAGATCTCAGAATCAATGATGAAGATGTGAGATGAAGCAGATTGTTGATGTTCTTGATGCGGTGCAAAGGTCGAAGATGTTGTGGAGATGAAGATACAGTGACGCTTGAAGCGGTTACAATGAAACTGCAGCTTGAGGAATGAAGGTGATATTAGTAGAACTTGATAAGGTTTTAATGACGATGACGATTCAGTTGTGTTTTTTTTTCTTAAAGAATCAATGAGGATGATTACGTATTGATGGAGAAGATTGCAGAGATGATGAAGATTGGAGGTTTTGTTGAAGTGGGGTATGGTTCAGAAGTGGAGGCTGCAGAGGTTTTGTGAGTTCTTTGTGAATTTCTTTTTCTATTATGAATCCTTTTTTTTGTGTTGAATCATAAATCATGACCCCTTAACTGAATGATAATCTCCCTGTTATATAGATTTTCTGCTATATTGTTTAGAAGATGGGATTTGGTTAGAAACTGTTTAGAGTTTGTTAGGAGTTTGTTTGGAGTTTGTTAGGACAGTTAGAAAATCCTGTTAGAAGTTATGCAGTGTTTGTTTAGTTGGGTTAAAAGGAGTTAGTTATAGAATTGGTTAGGAGTTAGTAACTGTTAGAGTTAGTTTTTTTTTTGAACTGAAATTCAGTTATGTAGGTATTCTGTTAGAAAATTTTGGTTAGAAATTTGCTATGGTTACAAGTTAGTTGTATTTTCTTCAAGTGACAATTCTTTCCATTCGAAAAAATGCTTCATCTACACTTGAATTTGCAAGAGTTGGTATTTCAACCTTAATAATACTCTCGATTTGACCTTCTCGAGACTTAAACTTGAACTGTTGTTGAGCATCATAATCTCTTTTTGATTTAGCATCATCTTTCATTTTCATCCAAAGGCCGTAAAATTCGTCAAAGATTCTTTGCAAAAGCAAATAAGATTTATAATCACTTATTTTTGCGTTTGTTGTAGGATATGCAATTTGAACAAGAATGTTCCAGTATCAAGCCTGTATGACTGATGCAATTCTAACCCAACATACTCGACAAAAATGAACTTGCATGAAGCAGCCTCGGGGAAGCGCATGAGTATATATAGCCAGGTTGATGTTCTCATGCTCAAAATTTCTCAAACATTCTTTTTCTAAATTGCTTTGACAGAACCAGTGATAACCCAAATTTTATCTCATACACAGCAACTTGAATTGGTTGAATAATTTCATCACATGCTGAATACTCATCCCTCAACCGATTAATGAAACACATTGTTGTTTCCTGCCAACGGTGATTGTTGTCAATAACTTTCCTGCTAAATGCCCGCACTCTTCCGAATTTCATGATTCAAGCTGGAGTTTAATGCATCGAACTGTTGCATTTTCTGTGTAAGTGTCTGGAGCATTTTCAATATCATCATTGGGATAGAATGTTGAATTTGGAAAGGAGCTTATCTTTGGATGCATCCTGTACTGTATGTTGAGGAAGTGATTTGGATGACCCAATGTGGTCAGCCTCGCAAATAAGCTTCTTCCGAAATCAGCTCCAAAAGAAACACTACTTTCAACCATTGCTGGTAGCTGGAGTTCATCTCCAACAAGAATAACATGATTTATTTTAGGAAGAAGTAGAGGTATCACTGATTCACACTCTTTCAATTGTGCAGCTTCATCTATCACTAAAATGTCAAGTGGCTCCATCTCAATATAGTGCAGTATAAAGGAACTAGAAGCTGTTGAAAATATTAACGAAGATGCTTGCAAACAGAAAATTTTGACGGACTCTTCAGTCATATCATTTGGAAGGCTGAGATTACCAAGTGAAACTTCAAGGGTTCTTAATAGAAAAAGGCAATCCGTTCTGATTTGGCACAGTGAGAATTCAGCACCCTCATGAGAATTATGTTTACCTTCTGAAATGAAAAGCTCTTCCAATACTTTATTATCAATATTATTTTTCAACAATAAGTCTTGAAACGACTCGAGGTTGTGAATGAGAGAAACCAAGTTTTCTAAGTTTTGTTCCGTAATGCAACTTTTGGGTAAATGCAAGCATAATATAGAAACAAATTCCTTGAGTGGCGATGCTATGGACAAAAACCTTTCTTCTAGAAACTTTAGAAAAGACTTAGGTTCAAAGTGAGCATGTTCCTTTCTCATCGGGTTCTCAATGAACATATAATAATGGGAAACAAAATTATCAAGAAGATCAATCATTGAAAGAAAACATTGTTTCCAACCATTCAATGCGTTAAAACACTGTAAGAGTTTGCTGACACGGTAGTCCAAATATATCTCTTGGATATCTGCACCAACATTGAGCCGGTCATGATTCCCAAATAATAGCATATCTCCAAAATTACACATCAAAGCATCCCCGTCATGATATGATTCTCTGACAATGCTCAACACACGCGATGCCACTTCCTTAATGGCAACGTTTGTAGGAGCAGAAACAAGAGTCCTACGATTCATTTTCAATAGAGGAAAAAGCAGCGTGGCCAGAGTTTTTGTTTTCCCGGATCCCGGTGGACCGCTAAAAAGATCCACAATAGACTTACTGTAATGAAAGGAAGAAAGGCAAGCACGAATTGCATTTTTTTTGTGAGTCATTCAACTAAGATAACAAACTTGGATATGTTTCATCATCACTAAGAGCAAAAGGACTTTCCTCAACCACATCTCCATCACATGAAATTTTGTGAATCAGCTTTGAATTTCCATCCATATGGAGACCTGTCCATATTCTTTTATTGGTAGTGATATTCATTAAGAATATCATGAACAAAGGTTTTTCATCTTTGAGAGGGTTTTTAGAGATGACATTAAGAGCAGAAGCAGGTTTGGTATCACCCTCCTTTGAAATGCCTGTAGACAAGACAAAACTCCACCAATTTCCAGACCTTTTCAAATAATTAAAAGCTTGGGGTTTAAAATTAGCCAAAACGAAAACACCTCCAGGCTTATAAAGCTCTTTTCCATCACCAGAAAAAGTATCAGTTTCAACACCATATTGATTACGACCATGTGAAAGTGATTTTGAATGCTCAAGAGATAACACTTTAGCACAAGGTAAACTCGAAAAATTTTCAATACAAGAACAAAGCTGCGCTCTGGTTTCTTCCAACAATGGAGACACAAATGAGTTCAAATAATGCTGAACAGAATGAAACGATAAACCAATAGATTCGACCTCGTGCTTGTCAAAAATGTCGTCGAGAGACCATGAAAACACATTGTTGATGAAGGTTCGTCCATTCCAAAGTTTCTTTTTGGTTGAAATGGAAGTTGAACCACTCATTTTGTTTAATCAACAAGGTTTCAGTTGCTATGGAGCATGAAGAAGAAAGGTGAAAATGGAGTATGGAAGATTTGTGAGAATGTTTGAATTTGTTAAGATGAAAATGGAGGTTTGAGTTTGTTAAGATGAAAATGGGAATTTCTTTCTTTACCATAACATTCTTTAAATGCAACTCGAATTCCCAACACATATTAGATGAAAATTCAAGGGAGACCTTGGCCCCAAAGTTAATTGTTCAAAGCTTACTTTAACCGAAGTCAACAGATCTTATCCTCGTATCTTTGAACTTGGCCCATGATTATGCATCTCAAGGTCTCATAAGAGCTTGTAAGCCCATCAACCAGGTATGCCATGTTGAACAAAACCCTTCCTTGAATGCCTTGAACCTTTAATTACCTTGAATGAATTCTTCCCTGAGAAGCCCACTTCAATCCCAACCTACTCGCATCGCAGATAACAAATGACAATGATGAGGACAATGATTGCCTTGGTTAAGGAGAAATCTATGAATTCATATCTTAGGTCATGAACCACGCTTCACAATTCAATCCCCAACCCTTAGCGATCGGTTATTTCAACTTGAAATTAGCGTCATAAGGAACATCTTACAGAGGGATGATAAAGTCTTAATCACAGAAGAATTCCCTTGACGTGAAATCTAGTTGCACAAATGAAAACCCCAGCACTTGCCAAGACTGGATAAAAGCAATTATATCTTGAAGAGAAAGAAATCATGTTAACCACACCTCACAATCTTGATTCCCCGTTTAGATGCACAGAGAAATATCCGGATAAAACATCTTTGAACCATGATTCAACAAAACCTAAATTGATTAACTGAGGAGTAGATGAATGTCATGTCACAGTCATTAATCCTAATCAAATGACAAGCATACTTATAGGAAAGGATGCCATGCTTCAAAGTCCACATATGCTAGGTCACGTCCTAGAGTTCTTGACCAGAATGACCTACAACCAGTTGTTCATCAAAAGATATTAGCCCAGTAACTTGGTGGAGAAGAAGTCCAGAAATGAGCCTAAAAAAACCTAATTCCAAAGCTTGCTGCATGAATAAGAAATCATCCTTTATTGGATACGAGCGCCTTAACCACTGTGAAACCCTAGTATCGCACAACTGCTGAACTTTGAACCTCAGAGCTATATTGAATGAAATGTATGCCATGTTAGTGACCTAATGAAATAGATGCAGATGAATGCAAAAGTCTAAGCCAAAAAAGTGCAATTAGGAGGGCAAATTTTGGGGTGCAACAACGACATTGCTAAAATATCTCATAGATTGTCTTCTATGACTATACAAACGTCCCACACCCGTCCCTTCACATCCAATGATGGGGTTTCTTACCAAATCAATGGTAAGATAGTAACATCTAAAGGAGGAGAAAAAGAACATTTAATACCTTTTGAGTAGGTAGGTTGCTCCTAATTGCTCGCTTGCTCACAACAAAAACATTTTATACACCAACACTTTCATTTTGAACTATTTTTCAAACAACACTTTGTACGCGTTCTTATAGAAACGAGAATCATTACAAAGACATTTTCAAAATACTTTCAAAACCCATACCACAAGCACATTTTCAAACAAAAGCAAGTGATCTAGCAAACAACTAAGAGCCCGTAGATAACTATGGATGAAAAGGGTATTAATATCTTCCCTTTTCATATAACCTACCCCCGAACTCAAGAAATAATCTCGAAAGATTTTTCCTGTTCTTTTCAATATTTCCTTATTGGATAAAAGAAAAGTCGGTGGCGACTCTTACTAACCGCAACAATTGCGATCAAACGCAAAACCCCAAGTCAGTTCTCCCACCGTGTTACAGTGGGTTACACAGAAAGCACTATTAGAGAATGACAATTATACAACTCTCAGACTCTCTCGTCTCGTCTCGGCTCTCTAACTTTGTTACGTTATTTTGCATTTTCATTTTTTCACGCCATTATTCCAGTTTTAACTGTTCAGAGCTTTGTTTAGAACTTAAGAAGGTAAAACCTTCACCCGAACTATAATAGTTTTCTACACCGAAAAACTATTGCATCATTAGTTTCTTTTCACAGCCTCATAAATATTTACTTTAAGTTTTATAATTTTTGTTCTACATTCAAATTAATTTTTCGCAAGCAAATCCTGACAGCATATTGTGGAGGATTGCTATCAGTACTTTAAGTGTTGCAGAAATTCTATTGTTTTCATTATTTAATTCCAGGTTTTTAATTTAATTATATTATTGTTCTTTATTTATCAATCATGCCTAAATTATTATATGTTTGCTACTATTTTGTGTTCATAATTAATAATATGTCCGACTAATTTCCCTGATACCGGTATGTAAGGTCACAAACCGAAAGAGTTCGTTAATAATTTGGCATAAACCTTTTATAAAATACTTTTCTGGTTTGGTTTCCAAATTTCAATATAAAATTGTTTTGTTATGAGAGTAAGAGACAGACTAAGGCTAAAATCGATAATCACGAGAGTGTGAGTTTTTAACCTGATAGTGATAATTAAACATTAATTTAAATACAGCGAGAGCGGTTTACGATTAATTAGATTCTATTTATTTTCAAAAAGTATCTTTGGATTTTAAATGAGACAGCGAGAGCAAGCATTTAAGTTTAATTATACAATATGAATCAACAATCACGAGAGTGTGGGATAAAGGTTTTTTTAACTGATAGTTTCTACTGAACAGTATTTTGAATACTCAAAGCTATGTCAATGAATTACTGAATTCCCGAAATCAGACTAATACGTACTGGTATCCCGTTATTAAATATTTCAACTAAGTCTAAACTTATTTTCTCTATCCCAAAATCTAAGATTTATTAGCCTTAGCTTTACATAGTAACTTTAAATAGCAGTAATTTGATTATCAGTCTTGGTGGGTTCGATATCTTTTAAAACTATGTGATTAAACTATATATTTGCAGTTAATACACCCGATAGACTCTTAAAGTCGCGATCAATAACTCTTGACTGCACCCATGTTGTGGTTAATTGTGTGAATTTGATCAAGTTTTCTGCTGATTTAGAGTCCATAACTCTTGACTGCACGATGCTATTAAAAAACTTTGTGGAAGCCTCGGTGAAGTTTGTTGGTAGGAATTTAAATGTAGAAGCCCACCACTTTAATCGGGATCGGAAATGCAATAGACTCTAGAACTCGGTTGGGGTTCATACCCTTTTTTGATCTTGTCTCTGATCTGTTATCGGCTGTAGTTGTTTAATGAAAAAGCCTTTTTATAAAATTTAAAAATTAAAAAATAAATTAAAAAAAAAAAAAAAAAAAATTCTCCATAACTTTTTAAAGAGATATTTGCAAAATGTTTCATAAATAAAGATGTATCATCATGAATACTCAAATGTCATCCAATAAAATGGTTGTGATATTTGTTCCAAATTATCATTCCTACATGCATGAAGGTCACACAAGAAGAGCATACTCAGTTGCGGACATTACAGTCAAGTCCATTATTGTTTCAAAGGCTTAGATACCTTAGTGTAAAAATATATAGTGTGCGGAGGTGTGCTCTAACTACATGACTGGCAAGCAAGACATAGATGTCATTCATAAAATAAGCAATTGAAAAGCCACAACGAAGTTTGAGTTGATTCAGTCACATATGTGGTCCTATCAAGCTTGATTCTAATGAAAGGAACAAGAACTTCATCATCTTTTTTATGACTTTATTAGGGAGACTTTAGTTTATTTCTTGCATGAAAAGTATGATGCATTTGAATCTTTCAAAAAGTTTAAGACCTTATTGAAAAGGAGTCCACTTATGAAATCAATTGCTTGACTAATAGAGAAAGTGAATTTACTTCCACTGCATTTGATGATTTTTGCAACTCTAAAAAAATTAAGATGTAATTAACCATTGCCTATACTCCACAACAGAATGGAGTATCAAAAAGGAAGAATATAATTATGATGAATATGGTGAGAAGCATGCTTACCCTCAGATCATTCCGTCTCATCATAGTCGTATGATTCTGAAGAAGGATGAGAAAGCAGACATGTTACTGAAGTTTTATGTAAAAATATTACCTCTGTCAAAGATCACTCTAGCAAAGAAGGTTGATAAATAAATGTTTTCTAGTAGAAAGAATATCCCCACCCGAGCCGACGAAAGAGAAAGTAGAAAGCTGGGAGAAAATTTCCAAAGGTGTTTTGGGTTGAAGTAGTAAAGTAATTTGTCTATGTGATGAACAACTTAGGAGGGTTGAAGTGAATAACACATGTGAATATTCCTGATGCACACTAGAAATAAATTGGATGGAAAAAGCATGAGATGTGTCATGTTGGGTGTGAGTGATGAATCAAAGGCTTATAAATTTTATGATTATATTGTCAAAAATATACTTGTGAATAGAGATGGCATTTTTGAAGAATCTAAATCATGGAACTAGATTAATTCCTTGGAGAATACTTCCATTACTTGTGACATAAATGATGAAGAAAGATTTCAAGTTAATGATTTTATGTTTGGAAACAATGAAGTGGATGACCTTTCTCTTCATGGAACCCTTTCAATGACACCCTAATATTGTGAATCAAACTCATGCACAAAGTCCGGAATATATTCCCACTCATTCAAATGATAGTACAAAAGATAATGAGTTGCCACCAAGAGTCATAAGAAGGCCTATCCATCTCTCTGATTATCTTACTGGTGAAGAAAAAATTGAAGATAATGCCTTGCATAATCTGGATGTGTTAAGTATCAATGAGAATCCAATCACTTTTGAGGAACCCGCAAAGAAAGAGGTATGAAGGAAGACCATTGATATGGCAATGGAAGCCATTGAATGTAACAACACTTGAGAATCGGCAGTGCTTCCTCATGGAGCAAAGAAGATTTGAGTCAAATGGATCTATAATACCAAGTAAAATGGAAATGGAAAAGTTGAAAAGCACAAAGCAATAATGACAAAAGGGTACTCCTAATAGTATGAAGTTGACTACAAAGAGGTCTTATTCCTACAAGCAGATTCTGGGATGGCTAATGTACCTCCTTGCAATCTGATCTGATTTGTGCTTGGTTGTATCTTTTGATTGATAGATACATGGAAATGCCAACAGATATGCATATGGCAGCCACTAAAAGAATTCTCAAGATATTTGTAGGATACCGTGAGTTATGGAGTATTGTATGAGATGGGAAAAGGAAGAGATCTACTTTGATGGTGTGGCTCTAATTATGTTGTGACCATGATGATAGAAAAACCACACATGTTATGATTTTAAGCTAAGAGCAGGGACAATATCTTAGTCATCAAAGAAACAATCAATTGTGACTCTCAACCACCGAAGCAGAGTTTGTGACAGCTACATCATATACTTGCCAAGAATGTTTGCTGAAAAAATCACACTGTTGATGGAATAAAGGAAAGCTGCCATCAGGGATTGCACTAACAAGCAACATTCAAGCAAAAATTACATTGTGATTTGTGATCTCTTGTGACAATAGTTTCAGGATCAAGTTTTTTAAGAGTCCTGTGATGCATGAAAGATGCAAACATATTGATGTATGATTTCATTTCTTGAGAGATCTCACCAAAAAGATAGAGTTGTCAAATTGACGCACTATTGCAAACCTGATCAATTAGTTTATATCATTACTAAGCCTTTGAAGTTAGAGGCTTATGTTGTTTGAGAAATAGCATTGGTTTGTATGACTTGAAGATAATGATGTAAAATGATTGTGTTGTTAATCTTGTTCAGCTTAAAGGAGGATGTGTTAGGCTTGAACATGCTTTGTATTAACATTGGACCTATATAAAGTACCACACTAATGAGAATAAAGCATCCGTAGAAGTTACACAACAAATCACACGCAAACCATAGCTACAATCTCTCATCACAAAGGATTTCAATTTCAGGATTACCACTTTTAGTTGCAGTGGATTGGAGATTTTTGTTAGGAGTACAGAATTCATAGTCACACTACAATAGATATTCCTGTATGAAGATTTTATCTTATCTCAGTTATTTTGACCCCTTATCTTGATTTCAGAAATCAGTTAATAACTGGACAGAATGAATAGTGAAATATCATTTTCAATTTATAATTATACATGCTAAACTAACAGTTTTGGAACACACACAAATCTAGCTGCAAAAGACATCTATGATATATACAAGTTTACAACATTTCAAAAGCCAATCCCCCTTTTTCAAAGCTAGTACAACAGATAGCTCTTCACGAACAATTTGAAATAGCAAAAAAGGGAATGTTGCAGTAAACTTTAAAATAGTTATCACATCGGTTAAGAAATTGAAAACTAACCTAGGTTTTAGGAACTTGAATAAAAGTGCTTGTTTGTTTCTGCGGCCTATCACCCTCTGCTGACTCGATTCTACTATTTGGAGCTTTGGAAAATTCACATTCTGTGAACAATGAGATGTGATAAATACCATCACATTGTATAACCAAACATGCTCTAAAACCTGTCCGATCATAATGCTTCCGCCAGTTATCATATATCTTACTTCTACTTCCTTCTACATCTTGCGGAATGCAATTAAAACTGCAGAGATACCAATATGTATAAGCCACAATATATAGCATTTTTTAAAACATAACTGCAAGTATGTGATGAGAAAGCTCTCTCTTTCTAAGGCATGCATGCATGTATGTATATGAATAAATAAATTATGACAAAAACTTACCAATCAAGCAAAGGAGAATAACGGAAACAGTTATTCGTGCTAGCCGACTGTATTGCATTTGATATTGAGATCTTTGAAGCTGTCTCTGAATAGCGCCACACCATCCATAGAGTTGCTTGTCGTAACATTCATCCAAACTATCGAGGCTACTTTTAGTTTTTTCAAGGCAGGTTTTGTTTCCCTTTTTTCAATAAAAAGCAAAATAAAGAATTACAATATATTGGTAGTAATTCAACAAATGCATTAAAAGTCAATCAAACAAATCTCCATACTGAACAAAACAACAAAAGAAGATTAAAGGCTCTCACCCTATTCAATTCAGCCATTGGAATTAGTGCACTATCAGTTTCTTTATGATGATCCACTGTTTTCAGTTTTCTATAACCATTCCTCGGCCACTTCAATTTCGAGATTGATTCAACAGAACTAAAAAATCCCGATAAACTTGGCACCTTATGCATTGGACCACCACCAGAAGAACCACTGGAGGAACTCAACTGCTGTGGATCATCGTTAACTGAAATTTTCCAATAACCAATATCAGCACTAGCACTAGCCACCCTACGAAACCCGTGTGATACCTCCTCCTTAACTTCGCCACGCCCAGTTGAAACAGGAAAATCCTTCGACAAATTAACGACAGAACCCTTATCACATAATCGCTGACTGTTGCTTTCAGCTACTGGCATTCCTGAAAGAAACATAGCAAGCTCGTCTTTTTCTCCTTCGTCCAAACACACCCACTGCCGAGATGCCTTGCCACCCAAAGGGAAGGCTTCATTTAACGAAAGCTCGACTTTCTTTATCTTATCCTCCATAGCAGTGATAAAATCTCGATGCCTAGTTCTTGCATCGTTACCAGAGTTTCTACTATAACTTGACTTAATTTCGCGTTGAAATTCCTCTAACTGCATTTTACAACAAAAAAAGGATACAATTAGTTAAAAAAAAAGAACATTTCTCTAACATTAAAAATGTGATTGGAATACTTCATGAAGTGACACGGGACACAACCAATTAGATTCAGGGAAGAAAGCATGTATAAATATAGCTCTTAATGTGCATTTAAGTACAAATGTGCCGTACATAATAATTTTAACCCGTGCGGACACACGAGTATTTAACTAGTTTCACAACAAAGAGAAAATACAATCATACTGTCGTTATTTATGATGATAAAATATGTCAAATGCACTTCATAATAATCAAGAAAGGCCATTTAGCTATGAAGCACGGACACAAGACACAGACACCGGATATGACACGACACTGACTGGTCGACATCAGTAATAATTTGAGAAAATGAATAAATTAAACATAATCACATGTGTCGGTGTCACACAATACGCCTCTTTTTGCCGGATTAAAATTTACCTGCCATTTAGTAGTGCCAAGAGTAGTAAGTAAATCTCTTCTGAGTTCATTAGGGTTCCACATGCTTGAATTATCTTTGGTAGCATGAATCCATGTCCTAAATGTAGATTCCATCCTTCAAAAACACAATAATCAAAAATCAATATCCATAAATTTGAAGCAACATGCATAATAAGATCTAATTCAATATTCAATCGGTAAAAATCGAAAAATATTTAAAATAAATAAATTCCATACCAAAATTAATTTATCCAAAACCTAATAAATAACAAATTAAAAAAAAAAATCTAATTGGAAAGAGAAATTGAAGGAAATTGGTACCTATCTGCAGATTCTTGAACTTCTTCAGCGGCGTTAAAGAATGGATCTTTTTCCCATCGGTCAAAACTCGAGGCCATGAATAATTGAGAAAAATGATCTGAAAATATAAACCCTAACTGGGGAAATTGAAAATGAATTGAGAAATAAAAATAAAAAGGAAGAAATGGATTTGAGAGAAAGGGTTTGTGGTTAGTTAGAATATGGTTGAGAATGAAGAGGGTTGGAATGTAAATAAATAGGAATAAAGTTGTTTTATTTATTTTGGAACATTTTTAATGTTTATTTATTGTTGAGTATAGTAGTCAACGAGAATTTCTCATAATTGTCGCATGTGGATAAGGCAATGCTGACAATGTTATGGTCAAATAAGTACTACCTCAGCGTTCTACTATATAGTCTCTTCGGTTATTATTATAAACAAAAAATATCTAAATTTTAATACATATTATATTTATCAAAAAAAGAGTATTATCATTATATCTTAATTTAATTCAAAAGTATTTAATGTTGGTAGTTGATTTATCAAATATAACTAAAGATATTATAGTAAAATTTACTTTGATTATACATAAAATCAAAAAAATTTATTACACTTAATTAATTTTTTTAATCATTGTGAAAATAATTATTTTAGCTTATAATTGTAACCAGAGAGAGTAGTAAGAAGTAATTAGCATAAAAAATGCAAGAATTTATATGTGACATTTGTATAATTAAAGTAGAAAAAATCAGTATATGTTTGTCATAATTTATGGGTGGGTACTTAAGGATCGATTTAGTGGTGGAGGTTTGGGTCTTGAGAATGTGCTTCTCTTAAAATCTTGAGTTTAAATCTTGATAGGTGCTAATAATCCTTGTATTAGGTTAATCCACACAGAACTCTGCTATGTCTTTAAACAAGGCCTTCACTAATGCAGGATGAAAGTTTTCCTCTTAAATTAGTCGGTATCAAGATTTCAAAATTAGTCGGTGTTATTCTTGTAGGAACTATTTCATAATATTAAGCATTATTCATAAATAATATAATATGCGGTTGCAGTTTTGAATGAGTTGATTGTAAGTATACGAGTCTGTCTGTCCATCCGAACCATATAAAATCTAAAATATTCTTTTGATAGGTTTCATATGGTGTTGGTTTTTTATCCACCTCTATTATAAAGTTAAAATAACTATTTAAATCAATGTTTTAAAACTCAAACTGTTCCGGTTGGTCCGACTGATTAGATCTTAAATAAAAAGATAGAACAGTCTGATAAGGTTATTAGATCATAATTATAATTAATGTGATAAAGATCGGTGTGATTCAACCAATTTACTTATTAGAATAGTGAATTAATGGATTTCTTGATCCATCGAATTAATCTTTTAATATTTAATTTTTTAGTTTAATTTTGATATTTGATCTATCTATTTTCATTTTTCTTAAATTTTGGTACCCTTGTTTTAAATCTGATTTGGCGAGTTCTATCTATTACTAACAGAGAATCCAAATAATTAGGATATTCTACATAAACCGTGGAAATCTCTTTACTGCCCCCCTTTCTTTGTTAACAGATTCGCACACGCATTTGCTTTTCTAAAAACATGCTCAATAACCACCATATCTAACTCCTCTAGTTATTCCTCGGATTTTTGCTAATGAAAGACTTTTTTAAATTCGATTTTATTAACAAAATATTTGGTAGCTTATTTATTATAATGTTAAAAAGATATTTATAAATTAATAAAAGTATTTGAAAAAAAAACATATTATTTTAAGTATGAATTTCATTATTTAAAAAAAAAATTATGTTACACAAGAAAGATAGAATTAAAATTTCATATTATTTTCAATATAAATCTCATTATTATTTTTAAGTAAAAGCCGCATTATTTTTTTAAAATTTTTATTTATAAACTTTTATTTTCTACTTTATTTTTTATTTTCAATTATTTATATAAATTATAATATTTATTTATGTTCTATACTAATTTATTAATTTATGATAGTATTATATCATATAATAGTTTTTCTTTTTTATGATTAATTTATTTATAAGCATCAACATTATTGTGTTTCGAAGTTGGAATTTTATTTTAAATTGTTATTCAATGTTATTTGTATTAATAAGTTTATAGTTTTTTTATTTATTTTATAGAAGAGTTTATGACAAGAATTTTATTTTATAAATATTTTTTTAATTTTTATAAATTAAATTAAAAAGTCACGTGGTTCAATCAATGATTAATTAATTCAATAACTCAATAATTTGACACCGATACATATTTTAAAACATTGATTCAAATGATATAAAATTTTAAATAAGTTAGTTGATAATTTATTACAAGTCAAATTAGAATGTTTTGGTTTGAAAAGAGAGGGAATGATTTTGAAGGTGAATTGCAAAGAAAATAAAGACACAAATAAAATAAATGGCGTGAAAATAAATTGACCCATAATCTAAAATGTTACTATTATTAATATAAGATAATTAATTATATTTATTTAGCTTCTATAAATATATCATATGTAATGATGGAGTCATGAAATTTAAGCAGTTCGGACATACAAAATTTACCTCTTGTTTTTATTAATTTTGTCTATGATTTTGTTTTTGTTTTTATTAATTTTATTTCTGATTTTATCTAAAAATCAAGTAGAGTAAAAATTCATATAACAAATATGGACACAGATAACTATTTATTAAAATAAATAGATATGAGTGCGGACACAGATACCTTATTATCCACGGGGTGGACATAGATATCTTATTATTCACCACGTCTCATAGTTGCATTATATATTTATATAATATCATTTTTAATATTATAAAAATGCACATTTATTAATTTTAAAAAATATATATCACTATTAAACTATTACAAATTTTAATAAAAGTGCTTATTTATTTCTTAACTTAATAATTGTATTTATAAATTTTTTAATATTATTAAAAAAACTTAATATTATATAATATTTCATAATTAATTGAACGAATTTTATTACAAACACGATAAAAAACGGATATAAATATGAATATTAAAATATTCATAAAATATAAATACGGGTATGAACATTCGTGTTCATGTAAATTTAGGCTCGAATAAATTTTATTACAAACACGATAAAAAATAGA